TTCCGCTGCTACTGCTACTCCCTGTCCGCCGCGCGCCCCGTGGTGCGCGGCGTCGAAATTAGGGTTTTTCAGCCCGCCGTGCGCCCCGAGGCGCGCGGCGGTTTTCTGCCCGCCGTGCGCCCCGAGGCGCGCGGCGGTTTTCTGCCCGCCGTGCGCCCCGAGGCGCGCGACGGGTTTCTGCCCCGTCACTCGGCGCGTCGCCCCCAGGAGGCGCTACGACGGGCGACGGGGACCCGCGCGTCGCCCCCCGTCGCCCGTCGTGGCCTGCGCGCGGCCCGTACAACCGGCGCGCGGCCCGTACGGGCTGCGCCAGGCCTGCGCGCGGCCCGTACGGGCTGCGCCAGGCCCGCGCGCGGCCCGTACGGGCTGCGCCAGGCCCGCGCGCGGCTCGGGCCGCCTGCGCGCGGTTCGGGAGGCTGTGCCAGGCCCGTGGGCGGCCCGTTCTTCGCTGCCCCTGTCCTCCCCGCTGTCCCCCGTGCTTCTGAAGGCGCCCCACCCCTCCTTCTGCCCGTTCTCCTGGATTAGGGTTTGGGGGTGGGGGGTATGGGGGTGCAGCTTCTGTGTGCCGTTCCCTGCTCCTCCTCCTCCTCCGTCTCCCTGTGCTGCAGCTGCCGCTGAGGGGGGGTGGACCTGTTGGAGCCGTCGGAGTGGTACTAAGGGAGGGTGAAGGGGGAGTGGAGCTAGGGGTGAAGCAGGGGGTGTGTGTCAGGGGGGGTGGTACTGTTTGGGGGAGGTTGAACGGAGGTTGCCGTCGTGTCGCCAGCAGCACCTGTAGTCCGGGGAGTTGCTCCGGTAGCCCAGTCGTAGCCACCTGTGCCAGTCGCCCGTGGGTCCGTTGCTCGTCTGCCGCTACTTTTAGCCGCGGGGCCAGTTACTCCAGTAGTCCGGAGCGCTGTTCCGGTAGCCGCTGTGCCAGTGTGCCTCCTGTTGCCCGTGTGTCTGCAGCTTCAGCCGTCGCCTCCTATCTCCTCTCCTCTCACTGTCCCTCCTCCTCCTCACTTGCCCGTTGTGACTACCACTAGCTTTGCTCATAATTGTGAACTTTAAAATATTGCTTCCTGAACTTGTGCTCAGAATGTGTGGTGACATTGTGATCCACCCTGAGCTTGTTCTGCTTTGCTTGCTCTGCTGATTACACCCCACTTTGGCTATGGGGGTGTGTCAGAATATTATGCTCTAGCCTGTAGTGGGGTGCTCTATAGCGAGTACAACCCTTCTAGGGTTTGCTATTTGTATCCTCATTCTTGCTAGTGCAACCCCCTTCTTTGCCTAAACTGTTTCTTGCCTAGCTAGGGCTTTCCTAGCTATGGCGCCTTCTTCTACTGCTTATCTTCACAATACGCTACTTCTTCGTGAAGGATGAAATCGAGAAGGGGAGACTCGAGCTGTCATACTGCCCCACATCCGAGATGGCAGCTGACTACTTGACCAAGAAACTCGGAAAGCAGAAGTTCGAGTACTGCATGCTGCTGACTGGACAAAGCCACGTCAGCGACACTCCAGAAGCGAAGGGGAGTGTTGGAAACAATCAATCTTAAGCGCCTCTGTCGTGTCAAAACACCAAGGCACAATCGAAGCGAAACATATCGAAGCACCGGCGAGTCAACCCTCGGAGGTTGAAGTAACTGCTGGAGGTTACGCGAAAGTCAAAGGTCAGCGACCTTTGACCTGACAAGTACAGCGCGACAGCAAGGACACACAACTGACTCGCTACAGAGCAGTTGCCCGAGTCGTCACTGTATCGAACCGCAACAGCAACAGTAAAGTAGTTATAACTGCATCTCTTCGTATTCCTTGTACTCATATATAATCATGTATCTCCTTGTTTTAATCAACTTACTTTGCCCTCACATACTAGCGCAAGGTGGTTCACTACTCTTTAATTAACGCTTCCGCTATTACATCAACCCTACTCAGATTTCACCCCTGCAAAGATCCTAAGGGCTTTTTTTCAGCCCAACAATATCATGGGTACGAGTGTCATTGCAGTACTATGGTGACTGCATTGGCCCACAATTCATGCAATGCCATGTATCACGCTATAGGCCCCAGTAATCAGTGCACTAACCCCTCCTTCCCATTCCCTCTTCTCCTACAGCTATTTTGTTTAATTGTTATTGTTTGGTGAGCAATTTGCCAAGGTAGGCACCTAAGCAATGTCCTGCCCATTCCGGCGCGAGTGAGTGAAATAGCACTGCCTTAATCACGCTATCATACCTTATGCAGAAAAATACACATGCTTGCACGAGCATATGTAGTGTTTGCAGGACATCACTACACAATACATTTTCATTGAAGTATTAATCATGTGTAGTAGTCATTGTTGCTGAGCGAGAACCTTGTACGTGTAGCTATTCAGGTCAAAAGTGAGTTGCTCCAACCACTTGCCCTTCTTCACCAGCAATGCCTTCCTTACCAGACCAGACAAGAAGACCAGCCGATCGATCCACACCACACACACGAGATTGGATGAACTTGGCAGGTCGTCATTGGTGCGCAGAGGAGATCATTTATTGGCGCATGTTGTGCCAAGTGTGGATTGGCTGCTTGGTCGCAGCATTCGCGACGAGAACGGGGGCTTGACTGAAGAAGCTTCGTGTACTGCTTCGGTAAATTTGCACTTGGATTTACTGTGGACTACACTGAATTTCTCATTGGAAACAAGGGCAGATTTTTGACAAGAAATATAAATAGTTGAAGCGGCCCAATCGTCGGAATCCCATGCCAAAACTCTTTGTTTCGTATCACGTGCAAGGTTTTCAAGTTTCTAATGGAAACAGGCTGGGCTACCCAAACATTATAACCTGTCGAAGAACTGCAAGCCTTTTTGAAGCTCTGAATACAGCGTGTCGAATGATAAGCAGAGGCCCGAAAATGATCATTTTTGAAAAGGGCATCAGGTGTATGCTGTGCACATTACAGATTTGGAAATGGTTGCCGGATGCGGTCCAAGAGAATGTTTTCTTATGTTCCGAAATCTTGAAGCTCCTCCAGCCCAGACCGAATGCAAAGGTGGGAGGGTGCAGGATTTCTTGTGCACACCATCTCCCGTGTTCCGGGCTTTTCAGGCAGTGACCTGTCCCGGGTGGACAGAAGTCCATTTTCGACCACTGTACATCCTAGTTTGTTGGCAACGCCAGGTCAACGTCAGAGGTGACGACGCGCGATCGGACATGACCCGTCACCCGAGCCGACCCGGAAACAGCTGCGTTCCCTCGCCGCCCATGGTCACTGTGGTGTTTTCAGGTGAATTTCGGGTCACTGCGTTCACTGTGGTGTTTCACTACACCACTGTATGCAACTTGACACTCGGAATGGGGGCACCACCTGCCCAGTGGTATGATCCCATCCCATTTCCTCACTTCTTCCAACGCCTTCCTTCGATCAACGTGCTCCAATTGTACGATTCACTTCGAGAGTGGCTTTTTTGACACATCTCAGAACGGGTAAATTCGGTGCCTTCGTTTCCAGAACGGCACAGTCTGGTAACTGCTTCACACACAGTAGAGACTTCCGTGCACGACTGAATTGCAATACTGTTGACATCCCAACCGATTTCGTTCCAAGGTTCGAGGGGTCACTTAGCCATGTTGTAACCAGGCTAACCGTTTGAAACACCCCTACGCCGTTTTAAACCGCTTTGTAGGAGTGTTGCTTAGAAGAAACTGACTTTCGACCTTCCGTCACAGCTTTGGGGCGCTAAAACAAATAAGCCATTTCCTCCTTTCGTGATTCCCATTTCCTAGAACCATTTATCATCCTCCACGCTGGCAATTTGTTCACTCTGATCTTCTCTCCAAGAGTTGCACAAAGCGCTCTTTTCGTAGTGAGAGCACGAAGCGCTTATAAAGTACGCGCTGCGATCATGAGTTCCGCCATGGTGAACCATGCGTCCGGGAATCGCGGCCTGCTACTTAACAGAGGCTATTCGGAGAAGGAAACAAAGGATCGTAACTGGGAAGGTGAGCACAGCGCGACTTCATTTTTCTCGCACATGACACGTTCTCCGTTCCTGTTGTGTGCAATGTAGGAGCTGTCTTCAGCATTTCTTTATTCCTCGTATAGTTTTGGGCGTTCTGACACGGATTTCGAGCATCTGTCAGCTCATAGAACATTCTCGAATTGACGTGGTGGGGCAGTTTTGTGGCAAGCCCTGAGGGAAAATCTTTGCTCCCCTTGCAGATCTTGAAAAGAGATGCCAAGCCATGGACTCCTCCAATGCCAGAATCGACGGCATCGATCTCACGTCGCTCCTCGAAGATTTAGAAATCGACGGCGCAGGCCACGATGTCGCGAGCGCAGACGGCGATTTCGCAAGCGGCGCCGGCAGCAGCGGTTCCAGGAACGACACCGCATTCATGTCCCGCGCAGCGACGGTGTCGAATCCAGCTTCAGTGACCTCTATCACTTCAGTTACTTACTCTCCATCATACGACGACGGCGACGAAGATTCTCCTCATCTCAACACTCCGACTGGGGGCAACTCGAAGCCTCGACGACGGAGTTTCACGCTGGAACGTCGCAATAAACGTGGTAGTGCAACCAGTGACGCGGCCGCAGCCGCCGCAGCAGCATCGGCTGCGGCAGCAGCAGCATCATCGCCCACAGCCAGGAATGCAGCCGCCTCGTCGGCGGCTCGAAGCGTCTTTTCGTACCATTCCCCGCTTCACGCGGCGGGCGGCGCGGCGCGAAACAGCACTCCGAGTCGGCTTCAAGTTGACGTCACTCCTCCGACCTCGGGGTTCGTCGGCAGAACCATCGGGAGTCCGTCTCCCGTCAATCCACATGTGCTGCATTCGTCGCAAAGCGACTCCGCGGTTGCCTCCTTGGCGTCGTCTGGACGGAGTAAATACGGCATGCAGAGTGGTGGGAGCTCGTTTGGCTCCACATGCAGCGACAGAAGTTCAGCCATTGCGACTCATGCGACTCCTGCGACTGCTGCGAATGGTGTTGTTAATCCGGTGCAGAAGTTTCAGCCAGGCGTGGTGTTCTCAAGCCCAATGCACCTGACACACCAGGATTCTTCTTCGGAAGCGTTCAACGCAGCTGGAGCCGCAGCGTCTGGATCGTCGCTTGGGGAATCGTCTGTGTCGCCTGGATCGTCGCATGGATCGTCGCCTGTAGTGTCATCAAGATCCCTGTCTGGGGCATCCCCAGAATCTTCCGACCCCGCCCCCATGATTCCTCGCCATTCCAGCTTGACTGCGCTCTCCAATCCCTCTGCTGCTTCCGCTGCAACAGCAGCCCGTCACGTCCGGAGCAGCACGGGCAGCCCAAAAACGATTTTCAGATACGTCATACAACCCGGGCAGGCACCACCAGGTTCTATCAGCCAGATCGAGAGGAACGGGCAGGAGGCGAGCAGCACGGCGGGCAGTGCTATGAAGAGTATCGGGGAAGGGGCGGTGGTGCAGGAGAAGGAAAGGCCTGAAAAGGCTCTATTGAAGGAAGGTGGTGGAAGTGCTTGGGCGCCTGTGAAGGCTCCAGCTGAAGGGGCGGAAGCGCAAGTGAGGGTGAGAGCTGGAGCTAATCCCGCTGCTGTGGAGGCTTATTTGAAGATGAAAGCCGCGCGAGCAGCACGAAGATAGGGGGGGTGCTTAAGCTGAGGCTCACACACCCAGTAAACAAAGTTGATATTCAACGGCCAAATATTATGAGTTGAAGTTGTTGTTAGTGGGTTATTCCTACAATGTGTTTGTGATACTATGAATGGCATGGAGGACTAAGTGCATTGCAGCAGTCGTGTTAGAAATAGTACCATGTACCGGTATCATAGCTGGACAGGTTGCAATCTGTGCTATGGCAATTCCCAGTTGATTCACGTACCGGTACCTCTCACCACAAGTTGTGAATGTTATTCCAATAACGGAACTTATCTCAACCACAGCACACCTCAACACAGCAGGGATCAGTCCTGCTTGCCTCGTTTTGCATCCACACTGCACGCACCGTCTGTACAGAAATACTCTCCTGAACTACCATCAGTGCATCACACACACACGGACACACTTGTATAAACAGCACACAAACTAGAGTAGATCCTACCCTTTTTATCTTCCTCGTTGAGCCTTCAGCTTGAAATAAGCCTCAATAGCAGCGGGGTTAGCCCCTGCTTTCACCATCACCGTCACCCCACTGGGCTTGCAACTGCCAGCAGCAACAGCAGCAGGAGCAACAGATGACACTTTATTCTGACCCGCCTGCGCAAGTCGACCTTCCCCACCTGCACCCGATTCCCCACTGCTGGTGGGACGGAGGCGCGCTGCTGATACAGTCACACTAGGCGCGTGCGACACGAGTGGTGACACGTCTCCCACACTGCTCTGCCGTAGGAGCACATGGCGAGGCGACGGCTTGAATTCAGATCCCGCAAGGCCAGATCCGCAACTGCCGCTGGTAAGATCATTGCTGCTTCCGCCGAAGCTACTCCCGCCGAAGCTGCTTCCGTAGCTGCTGCCGAGCTCCATGCTGCCGCTGTGGCTGCTGTTCAGGCTACTCTTCGATCCGAACCCGTGCCGCAAGGGGCCGCTGTGAGGGCCAGTGAGGGGCCCGCTGGGAAGACTTTCACTCCGGGGGGCGCCGCAAAGGGGGCTCCCGCTGTGGCTGCTGTTCAGGCTGCTCGTCGACCCGAACCCGTGCCGCAAGGGGCCGCTGTGAGCGCTTTCGCTGAGGGGGCCGCGGAGGGGGCCGCTGTGGGGGGCGTAACTTCCAACTTCAGGGCTGCGTCGCGCAGGGCTTCCCTGGGCGAGTTGTAGCGAGCCGTCAGAGTGGCACTGGGCGCCTTGGCTGTCGCTTCCGCTCTGGTACTTTCTGATCAAGCCGTACTTTCCGCTCGGGCCTTTGCCGTCCCTCTCGACTTGAGGCTCCTGATAACCCCGCGCCGCTCTGTCCGAGTGGCTGGTTTTGTTGGAATTTGCGGAATGCGCCGACTCGGTCGCGCTGGAGAAAGAGCTCCGCCGGTGCTGCGTCGGCGGAGGACTCGGCGCCGCGGCTGTGACGTCAAGGCGATTGATGGGGGAGAAGGTATGGCTCAGGCGGGAGGCGGGGCGGGCGGCGGGGCGGGAGGCGGGGGCGGCGGCGGATAAATAGGGGGTGCATTCGTCGGCGTTCGTCGATTCGTTGTCGCTGTCGCGTCTATCCTCGTTATTGTCGTCCTCGCTACTAGCATCGCTGTCGGCGGGCGCGACGCCTTCTTCCAGCAGGTTGGTGAGATCAATGCAGTCGATCTGCACGTTGTTCGAATCCATGGCCGCGCACGAACGCTCCAGCTCGTCCCAACCCTGCGACGCGGAGCTGTCGGTCTCCCATCCGCTCTCCTCCACCACTGCTTCCAATGCCGACCGCAGGCCAATGTTAACCGCGCTGCTAGCTTTCCCGCCGATACTACTGCCCGCGAGGCGGCCGTTACCAGCGCCGTTGATTATGATACCTTGTTGAATGCCGCCGCAAATCGCGCCGCTCGTGCCGCCGCTTAAGGCGACTCTATCCGCTGCCTCTGCGCTTTTTCTCCCCCCTGGCGGTTTTCCGCCGCCGAGTAGTTCCGCGGCCATTCCCAGCCCAACGCTACCGGTGAGCATCTTGAATCGTTGCTCGATGGACGGATCGGATGCTCTCACGCTGCAGATCTTGCTCGCCATCGTACAGAACAGGGAGTGAATATGGGCTGGTGTCAAGAGAGATGACCTTGCGAGTGAGAGATGTTACTTCCTGTAGGAGGCAATGCGGCGTACCCTAGATAAGACGTTTGATTACGATGGATGCTCTACCCTGTTGTAGTGTCCGTGAACAAAGCCTATGGCTGTTCGTCACTTCAGTTACGGAGCAAGATGCACGAATGCCGCACAAAGTACAGTCAGGCTACTTCCACTCCACAGGAGACCCAGTCCAGTCTGACCTGCATCAGAGATATGGTCTGGAGTAATGTATTATGTACCTCAAGATTTGAAACAAAATTCCCATGCAATTCGTCCTCCGACAGAGATCATGCCGACAAAGTGAATCGAACCGCCTTAGCTGTCCTCGCGCATCGCGTTTGGTTTCACGCGGTGGAGAGGTGGAGCCCACAGTATTGTGCATCCTGGCGAATTTGTGACTTTCGTCCCCGAAATGTCAACGACGATGATGAATGGCTGCGATTTTACTCGCGAAGAACAACTTTCAGTGAGAGCTGCAAGCTGACAACCAGTAACGCCAGCTTGGATGGAAGGCAACAATCCTGCCCGTCAACGTGTCGCATAAAATCCTGCCCCCTCTGTAGCAGCCACTGTGGGAACTCAGCAACTGCAGCCACGAAAGTTCTTGCCATTCAACCCGTACCCAATTGCGACAGAAAGGCATGCGAAAAGCGGCTGGCGGCACACGTCACCCTTCGTCATAAGCAAGTTGACAAACGCACACTGCCCGAAAGACCATGTGAGTGCAATGTACTGTACACGTCACCCCCCGATTCCGAAAGCATCAAGCTTTTCTTCCAATCGACGCCGACTTTCCCACTGCCCATAGGTCCAAAAACCACGAGGTACTGACTGATTGGTTGGAAACAACTTTTTGATGGTTGTTCCTTGGAAGAGGCACCCAGACTTCAGTTTCTGACAGAATAACCTTATCGGTGGGGTACGTTGTAGATAACACTTCAACTTCTGCTCCTTATCATATGGACATCTAGCTCCCACTTTGAAAACATAAGCATGCCTTCATGCATCCCTAAGTTTGTTTGTATGTAAAATACTAGTTGCGGTTCAGTTTATAAAAAATGGTATCAGAAAATGATGATAATAAAGTCTCAAAATTCTGATTTTTTATATAACATTATTTTACAAAATATCAAAGTTTTACTGTCTAAGGATAATCATAATTGCGCGAAACAATAGTTTTGATATTTTGAAGTTATCATAACCTTTCTAGTAAGAGGGTTGAGTATGATAGATGAGTGTGACATCCATTTGACATATTTCATTTACATAGAATAACCGAAGTCATGTAGAAGCCCTTTTTATGTAAAGCTCTGGGCGAGTGCGCTATCCGCGCTTCATTGTGATCACACGTATTCCATCCGCGCCTGACTTCCCCCTGTGTTTAGGGTTGATGCCTCCCTGACCGGATGCATGCCCTTCTGGGGTTTTTTTTTTTGCCCGCGGGCAGCGAGCTCCCCTGGGCGGACTCGCTTGTCCGCTGAGATATTTTCGGCGAACCACATCAGCCTGGAAAACTCTGAAAACGCTCCGTACCACGTTTTTAGAACATGTCACCGTATCTTACCATTCTCACTCAACTGACCTCTTACACCTTATCCCTTGCTTTCCATTCCCCCTTACTCATTCCCCCTTTCCCACTCCCCATTCCCCATTCCCCTCTCCCCGATTCCGCGTTCCCCCGAGTTTTTGCTCCCCGTTTACCTTCCCCGTTTCCCGCCTCCGCATCCCCCCTAGCCCTTCCTCTCCTCCCGCCGTTCCCCCAATCCCCCGCCCTCGGGTTAGGTATTGAGACAACCTCCTAGGTTTATTTTCTTGGTCATTTGCGACTTCCGTCGTTTCAGGTCGCTGTTCGGCGTCCCACCATGGCTTCCAGACGAGCGCTCCTCGCGGCTCTCCGCTCCGCATCCCGCCGATCATCGCAGCCCACCAAGTACGGAACCACCGCAAACCGCTTTTTCTCCTCCGCCGCCTCCACCCCCGCCTCCCGCTCCCCCGCCATCGCTAACGCCCTTCTCCGCGGAAGCACGCTCGCAAACCAGGTTTCTGCCGGTCGCCATGTCCCCGTGCGCTCATTCGCGGCGGAAGCCGCCGCCGTTGCGGAGACAACCCCCGAGGACTTTACCGGCGCCGGCAGCATTGGACACATCTCGACGGTTATCGGAGCCGTGGTGGACGTTAAATTCGACAAGGGCCTTCCGCCGATTCTGACGGCGCTGGAGGTGCAGGGGCACTCGATCCGCGTGGTGCTGGAGGTTGCGCAGCATCTCGGGGAGAACACCGTCCGCACGATTGCCATGGATTCTACCGACGGGCTCGTGCGCGGGCAGCACGTGCTCAACACGGGATCGCCTATCACGGTGCGATCCGTCGATCTAGATGCTTTCCGCGCGTTTAGGTCAGATCTAAAGGACGAGGTGGAAGATCCGTGGCGTTCTTGATCGCGCGATTAGGTTTAGATCGAACTTGGAGAGGGCCTATGGAGATATGGGGAGATCTGTCGAAAGAGAGGGACTGTTTTAAGGGATATGTAGGTATTTTCCTGTGGATCGAGGCGATATTGATCTGCATCAAGCCTGACGTGATCTTCCCGAGCCTGATTGCCGATCGACGAAGCGCGCCTGGATCTGTTGCTGATTTCCAGTCTAGCCATTTCGGACCGGTCGGCTTCGGCTTGCGCTGTTTCTCGTTCATCCTGTTTCGTCTTAACCACTCTCATCTGTTCGTGCTCATCTGTTACGAGCCGCAGATCCCTGTGGGTCGCGCGACGCTCGGGCGCATCATGAACGTCATCGGCGAGCCCATCGACGAGAAGGGCCCGCTCGGTGAGTCGTGGATTCTATTCTCTTGACTCTCATTTTCTTGCATTTCATTTTCTTGCGTTTCGTTTTCTTGCTTTCCATTTTTCCTGTTCCCTGTGTTTTACTGATCAAAGTTCTCTCTCGCGTTTGTCCTTCAATCAGACGATCTCACCTGTTTGATCTTCGTGCTGCCTTTTTTTTGTTTTTGTTTTTTGTTTTTCCCTTTTTTTCCCCGCAGAGTCCCCCCACAGCCTGCCCATTCATCGCGAGGCTCCTCTCTTTACCGACCAGAGCACGGAGCAGGAGATTCTCGAGACCGGTATCAAGGTATATTATAGCGGGGACAGCAATCAAGCGATCTAGTAACTATCGGTACTGGTGTCAAGTTATCCTATCGTTATGGTGCCGGGATGATCGCAGGACAGGCTCGAAAGTCCCTGGTCGTCGATTCTCAACGAGATTACGGCGCGCGTCTTGTATCTAGAGTTAGGAAACGGGTTGCGGCACTTTTTTTAGCGATCGTGCAGTAGATTTATTCAGAATGACACAGCATCGATTCTTGTTCCAGGAACCGCATCTACGGTCCTCCGTGGCAGGATCAGATCTACGGACGCGGTAGCGCATCTAGCCGTTCGCTGGTTTGGGGCTTGGCAAGACATACGTTTTAGGCAGTCGGCAGGGATAGTCTTAACGAGACGTAGACACACTCGGCTTGAGTTCCCATGCCACGTGGAAGGAGGTGCTTTCTCGGTTGTTTGGCTATTGTTAAGTAGCACGTCACCGTTGAATTCGCTGACGCGGCTGCCCATGTCTCCACCGATGCGTCGGATTGTATCCTTCGCGCCGTTCGGCTTCACGTGGTGCCCTATTGCCTGTCCCCCAGCCAGCTCTCCCCACGCACGCACTGCACTGAACGTCCAGCGAATTGTTAGGGTTCTTTTCCGACTCTAGACTGAGCGTCTCTGCCCCCTTCCTCGTCGCCGTTTATAGGTCGTCGATCTGCTGGGGCCGTACTATAGGGAAGGCAAGATCGGTCTGTCGAAAAGTGTTGCTGTTTTACACGCGATTTGGCCCCGTATCACACGCGTTTCACACACGTGTCACCGGCTCCGTTCCCCCATGTTGTCGATCTGCTGCCGCCGTACCAGAGCGGAGGCAAGGTCGGACTGCTAAAAAAGATCCGCCGTTTTAGCCTCGCTTCACCCCCGTTCTCCGCCTCCCTTCCGCCTTTCTCTTCCCCTTCCCCCTTTCCGTTCCGCCTTCCCCCAGGTCGTGGATCTGCTGGCGCCGTACCAGAGGGGAGGCAAGATCGGTCTGTTCGGCGGAGCGGGAGTGGGCAAGACGGTGCTGATCATGGAGCTGATCAACAACATCGCCAAGGCGCACGGTGGCTTCTCCGTGTTCGCGGGCGTGGGCGAGCGCACCCGCGAGGGCAACGACCTGTACAAGGAGATGATTGAGTCGGGCGTTATTAAGCTGGGCGACAAGCAGGTGCGTGAGAAACAGAGGAGAGTATTCTCCTAGACTCTGTTTCTGTTTTGAGTCGACTCAAAACAGAGAGGAGGAAAATATTGTAATATCTGTTTCTGTTGTACCTCCCATTCTTTTGCCCTCCCGCTCCGCCCTCCCTCCCCTCCCTTCCTGTTTCGTTTCGTTTCGTTTCTTTCTGATTCTGTTTCTTTTTGCCCTCCCTCGCCCCCCTCCCTCTCCCCCTTTCCTCTCCGCCCTCCCTCCCCGCCCTTCTTGTCCGCCCTCCCTCTTCCCCCTCCCTCTCCGCCGTCCCTCCCAGCCCTTCCTGTTTCGTTTTGTTTCTTTCTGCTTCTGTTTCCTTTTGCCCTCCCTCGCCCCCTCCCTCTTCCCCTTTCTTTCTCCGCCCTCCCTCCCCGCCCTTCCTGTCCGCGCGCCCTCTCCCCCCTCCCTCCCCGCCTATGCCCCCATGTCAGCACGGGTTCAAATCAGAAGTGCTCTCCCCCCTACCTCCCTACCCCCCGCCCCCCGTCCCCCGCCCCCCTTTCCCCCACACTTCCCCCTCCCCTCCCCGTGGGCAGCTGGAGAGCAAGTGCGCGCTGGTGTACGGGCAGATGAACGAGCCCCCCGGTGCGCGCGCGCGCGTGGGGCTGACGGGGCTGACGGTGGCGGAGCACTTCCGCGACTACGAGGGGCAGGACGTGCTCTTCTTCGTTGACAACATCTTCCGGTTCACTCAGGTACAGCGCGGTGTACAGGGGGAGGGGGCGGGGTGGGGGTTGCGCAGGGGGCCGGGGGAACAGGGTCGGAGAGGTGGGGGGAGGCGGTGACTACGAGGGGCAGGACGTGCTCTCTTCCCTCACAACATCTCCAGGTTCACTCAGGTGTGCGATGAGGGTGAACATCGGGAGAAGGGGGAGAGGGGCGGGGGATCAGGGGTTGGGGCGGATAGGGCAGACGGAGAAGGGAGGCGGTGAGTATGAGGGGCGGGACGTGCTCTTCTCCGTCGATAACATCTTCCGGTTCACCCAGGTACTGCTGGTAGACAGGGGGAGAGGGGGCGGGGGGACGGGGGATTAGGGGGTGGGGCGGAGATGGGAGTCGGCCACTACGAGGGGCGGGACGTGCTCTTCTTCTTCGTGGATAGCATCTTCAGGTTCACCCAGGTACTGCCGGTGGACAGGGGGAGCAGGGGCAGGGCGGGGAGGGGAGACGAAGAGAAGAGACAGAGGCTACGAGGGGCAGGACGTGCTGTTTTTCGTTGTAAATATCTTCCTCTTCACGCAGGTGCAAATGAGGCGCTCGCGGGTACGAACAGCATGCCCACGTGGTCCATGTGGTCCACGTGGTGCGCGTATGGGCTTTTCATGCAGGTATCAACCAACGCTGCAATGCCTCCCCTCCCCCCACGGCCTCCCCATCCCCTTCCTCCCTCTTGTCCGTCCTTCCCCTTGACCCCCCACTCTCTTATGGTGCAGGCCAACTCGGAGGTGTCTGCGCTGCTGGGTCGTATCCCCTCCGCTGTGGGGTACCAGCCCACGCTGGCGACGGATCTGGGCGGGCTGCAGGAGCGAATCACCACCACCAAGAAGGGCTCTATCACGTCAGTGCAGGCCATCTACGTGCCTGCTGACGATCTGACTGACCCTGCTCCTGCTACCACCTTCGCGCATCTCGACGCTACGACCGTGCTGTCTCGTCAGGTGAGGAAGAGAATCGCCAGGTGAGTCAGTGTTACGCGTTGAATCGCCTCATATGGAGGGCACAAGAATGGCTCCATCACGTCAGTGCAGGCCATCTACGTGCCTGCTGATGACTTGACCGACCCTGCTCCTGCCACCACCTTAGCCCATCTCGGCGCCACCACTGTGCTGTCTCGTCAGGTGAGTGAGTGTTACCTCTTGTTGCTGCGCCTGGCCGCCTGGTACCTGTTGAAGTGCTATAAAGGAGGCTCCAGAAGGGCGTCATCACGTCGGTTCAGGCCATCTACGTGCCTGCTGATGACTTGACTGACCTTTCTCCTGCTACTAGGACCTCCCACCTTCTCACCGAATCATGTCATTACATCTCTGAGCCGGGAATTCCTCCGGCTGTGTACCCCCTCGTTCCTCACAGAACCCCATCATATTTCCGAGCTGGGAACTCACCCTGCCGTGGTCCCTCTTCCCTCTTTGTCTCGCATGCTCTCGCCGCCCGTCCTCAACCTGGGGCACTGATCACCCCTACCTCCTTTCACTCCCTCCCTCCCGCTTACCCACCCAATCCCTTTGCAGATCTCCGAGTTGGGTATCTACCCTGCTGTGGATCCTCTCGACTCTTCATCGTGCATGCTCTCCCCGTCCATCCTGGGCTTGGAGCACTCAACCACAACCTCTTTCCCTGCCCTTTCTGTGTCCTCTACCCTTTGCCATCTCTCCTGTAACCCTTGTCACCCCATCAGATCTCCGAGTTGGGTATCTACCCTGCTGTGGACCCGCTCGACTCTTCCTCGCGCATGCTCTCCCCGTCCATCCTGGGCTTGGAGCATTACAACTGCGCGCGTGGCGTGCAGAAGGTGCTGCAGGACTACAAGAACCTGCAGGTGAGGCTAATTCTGGCTACGGTAGGGACAGTTACCCCCAATTAGGGTGTGCTGGTGGTCCTTCCCTCTGTAGTGGCGTGCAGAAGGTGCTGCAGGACTACAAGAAACTGCAGGTAAGCCAGTTTCCTTGCAAGTCACCCGTAATGCTTTTGTACTGAAAGAATTAATGATGCCCCGAGAGGACTGTATTGTCCCCCATCCCATGGCAAGTTGCCCATCCTTACTGTCACACTCTCTCTGCCACTCCTCTTTCCAATTCAGGATATCATTGCCATTTTGGGAATGGACGAGCTGAGCGAAGATGACAAGCTGGTGGTGGCCCGTGCGCGCAAGATCCAGCGTTTCCTGAGCCAGCCCTTCCACGTGGCTGAGGTGTTCACTGGCTCGCCAGGCAAATACGTCGACGTCAAGGAGAGCATCACCAGCTTCCAGGTGAGGTCTCGGTTCGAATCCTGCTGCTGTCATTTGATGGCATCATGCCGTCGCAGTCATGTGAAGGGGTGTGAGCCAGCCCTTCCACGTGGTGGAGGTGATGGTCACGGGCTCGCGGGGAAAGTATGTTGTTGACGCCAAGGAGAGCATCACCAGCTTCCAGGTGTGCTGTTGTAGTCAGCTCAGCTCAAATAATGTCTTGAATCGCGCAGAAAATGTTGGGAGTCATCTCAAAATAAGGTTTGAGAAGATCAATCCAGTGCCCTGCCTCTGTCCCTTCTCCGCTCATGCCATGTTATGATTCTTCTCTGCTCATGCCATGTTATGATTCTTCTCCGCTCATGCCATGTTATGATTCTTCTCCGCTTGAACCCACACTCCCTCCCCCTTACACCACCAGGGAGTGTTGGACGGCAAGTACGACGACCTGCCAGAGCAGGCGTTCTACATGGTGGGAGGCATCGAGGAGGTGGTGGCCAAGGCGGAGAAGCTTGCCAAGGAGCTCAGCTCTTAAGCTGATGCTGAATGATGCTGGCTGCTTGTGATGATCCCAGTGGTGCTGCTGATGTTGTGATTGTTTTCAACAATGAGATTAGTACAGTTTCGTACAGGTTACAGGAGCTGGAGGTACAGGATTGTTTCAATTCTTTTTCCAGGATCATAAGCAAGGTAGTCGGATTGAAAGCTGGTTACTTTTGCTGTTGTTACATGCTATTTCAAAGCCAGCATAAATGCTGGGACGAGGGATTTACTCTTACATTGTGGCAGATTTACAAAAGGAATTTTGCTCTTTCAATAATATATTTGAGGTGCCTTTTGTGAGACCCTATGTTATTGTTTGCATGCTAATGCAATATCGGGAGCAACATATACACAATATGTAAATGTGACTGTAAGCTGTGATAAGGGTTTTTTTTTTTCCGGCTGTGAAAATATACTATATAGTACGATTATACAATGCGAAACACCACGGTCGTAACCGATTCAAGAGGGCACACTGCCATGGCCTATTGGTCCGGGTTGTGCTGTCTGGGGGCCTAGAGATTGGCGGAGCACGCGGATATTATCTGCTTTAGACGAATGCTTTAGCGAACCTGTGCAAGCCGTCCATTTCTTCTTCATCCACGGATCACAGTTCTCATCTGCCGAAGTCGCATCTTCACAGTGACGCACTCGGACTACAGTCCTGAATTCTGTCCCTGCCGAGCCGAGCCGATGTTCCCTGCCGGTACTGTAGATCCACCAAGCCAAACCAGCAAGCAGAAGCAGCAATTCTGTCTCCTGTTGTGTGTGGGATGAGAGGGAAGGGGAAGTCGAATGGTCCAGTTGTTCAGCTGGAAATGGCGTCTCTGAAAATGAGGTAATGCTGAACAATGCTGGTTCACACTGTGCTGGGGGAAGGCGTCCTGGTGGTCAAGGACTCACATTCATATGTGTGCTGCAGGCATTATAACCATCGACGAGTTTGTTGGCTCAAAGTTGTGTCTGTTCGTCTCGGAACCAACCCTCTGATTTTCGCGATCAGCTCGGGTTATCTCGATTATTCAGTCCACCAGAAGACTTCTCCATGACTCTTTGACGCATTCCACACGATATCGTCAGCACATTTTTCGCATTGTTGTTGGACACAACCCTAAAGTATTCTGGCTGTCTGGTGATCCGCGAAGATCTCTCATCGGATAAGTTGACCGTTGCAATTTCGGCTTCCTATTCGACAAATCCACCAGAATGTCTCCGACATGGATAAGCCGAACTGCTATGATTGCTCCGCCTTTCTTCATTGGCATCTTAACGGGATTCACACTTCTAGCTCTGCAGCAGTCAATGTCTACCCACCTGAAATATCAATCTTTTACGGAAGACCAGCAGCAGACGGAATATGTCGATTCGCCCCAAATGCTAAAGAATTCCGTCGACAAGAGTTCGTTTTCGTTTGAAGAACGGTTACCGATTCATTATAATACGTCAGTGGGAACTGTGGAAGGGAAGCTGAACGTCCATTTGATTGCTCATTCCCACGACGATCTCGGATGGGTGAAGACAGTTGATGAGTACTATGTAAGTTCAAACCACAGATCACATTTGCTTGTTACCATTCTTGTCACTCACGCTAATGCTGAGATTCTCCTATGCAGCTTGACCAAGTGCAATACATCATCGAGACCGTCGTTGATCAGCTCGCAGATAATCCTGACCGTAAATTTATACAAGTCGAACAGGTGAGCTGTCGCGTCTCTAAGACGCAATGTTTGTCCTGATTCGCCGTGAAACGAGACATGCATTAACGCATATGTTCCAATTGTATGTTATCGCAGGGGTTCTTCTTCTTATGGTGGCAGCAGCAGGGCGAGACAATGAGAAATAGAGTCAGAAAGCTTGTCGCTTCTGGTCAACTTGAGTTCATGTGAGTCCACAATCTATCCAAGGGATGAATTTGGCTAAGCTGAACGTTCATGTCACCTCAGACGTCACTCCTCATCATGCCTGTGCAAGTCCTCACATCTAAGGACCTGGCCTGTAAACTCAAATTTTGTTGTTACATGCCAAATTCCGGCATCACTTTGTGAGGTGTTGCCTCACATGCATGCGATTCTTCATGTGAGGCCAAAGGTCGAGAATCTGAGACACTACCTGAGCACTTGACGCCAAATACGTTTGGGCACATGCGACCATTTTCTCGCCTTGCCTGCAAGGCCTCACACAGGCTCGCATTTGCTCCCTGGAAGAGGCTCTCACGCACTCGTACCCTATCCTGCTCGATTCCCTGCTGTCCGGTGTGCTGTGCAGCAATGGTGGGTGGGTGATGCATGACGAGGCGGTGTGCCATTACACGGACATGGTGCACCAGATGTCCATGGGCCATCGCTTCATCCAGGAGCAGTTCAATATCACTCCGCGCGTTGCATGGCAGATTGACCCATTCGGCCACTCCGCCACCCAGGCTAGCCTCATCACCTCGCAGGTGAGAAAAGTTCATCGTTTTCAATTGTTACCATCTCCTGTTTACGAATTCATCATACGCAACAGCTCTCTTAGTAGCAAGATCTATTCCCAGCCCCTCATAATATTGGTCGGAGCTGTTAATATCTGTACCCTATTCTCGCCCGCCAATAATTCGTCAGGCGTTTTGCAATCCTGTCTCGTTTACTCCCGTCCCGTCTACCCCTGTCTCGCGGCCAGGCTGGCTTGGACGCCTTTATCTTTGGTCGAGCGGACTACAAGGACATGGAGAAGCGCAAAGCAGAGCAGAAGATGGAGTTTGTGTGGCGGGCGGGCACAGGAGCGCCCAGGGATACGCAGGTGTTCACTGGGATTCTGTACGACGGGTACTACTCGCCACAGGAGTTCCGCTACCAGCAGACAGACAGCCCAGAGTACCGATTCAGGGTAAGCAGGTTGGTGGAGAGTGGGTGGGGGGAGGCTGGTTCGTGATCTGAAGCATCATAGTGAGTCAGGCACAAGCTGTGAACCTGAGATTTTTTAATCAGGGGAAATGCTACTTACTTACAGGAGTTTTGGTACCATGAGTCAGCTAGATAGCACCATGTCTTGGTTTGGAGTTAGTGTTGGGTCGTTGAGAAGTGGTTGACGTTCTAGCATAAATCCGAAAGAACGCATAGGTGAAGCGTGTTATGGCGTATAGGTATGAGGCGTGAATGGCATGGTACGGCACTTAATGTCACGTGCCATCACGTCACTCACTGTGTCCCCTCCTCTCCCTTTCCTCTGTGACCCCTTACCTCTCACTATGTGCATCGTCAGGACTGGCCGAACGAGAGAAATCCCAACGTGGAGCAATTTGTGAACTTCTTTGTTCAGGAGACATTGAACAGGGTGAGTCAGCATATGCAAGGTGAGTCAGCAAGGCCACGGTGAGCCAGCACATACGGGATTGATTCCATGCTGGTCAGCTGAATGTCAAACGAGTCATGCACACCAAGAACGTTGTATGAAGGGATAGTCACGCATTTATGGGGGAATTTTCCACCTTCACCATCCTTCCAATGTCACCCCCTTCCCCTTCTCCCCTCTTCCTCTGTCCCTCGCTCCCTCTCGCTCCCCGCGCTCTCCCTCTCCCCCTCCCTCCGCCTCTGCGCTCAGGCGCGGGCGTTCCGCACGAACCACCTGCTGTTCCCCATGGGCGAGGACTTCTCGTTCAACGAGGCCATCATGTGGTTCAAGAACATGGACAAGCTCATTCACTACGTCAACCTGGTCAGTCGGCGTTGTATGTGGTGGTGTGGTGCGGTGTGGTAGGGTTTGGTTGGTGTGGTATCGCTTCATGTGGTTCAAGACATGGACAAGCTCACCACTACGTCAACGTGGTCGGTTGGTGTGGGGTTGCTGTGGCAAGGCATGGTGTGGTATGCTGCGATAAGGTAGGGGTATGGCTTGATGTGGTTCAAGAACATGGACAGGCTCATCCACTAGGTCAACCTGGTCAGTCGCTGTGAGGTTGACATGGTATGGCTTGGTGGTATGGTACGGTTTGGTAGTGCTATATGCTATGTGCTTTACGTGGTTCAAGAACATGGACAGGCTCACTACGTCAACCTGGTCAGGCACCCCTCCACCCCTCCACCAATCCACACCTCCACCCATCCACCCCTCCACCCATCCACCCCTCCACCCATCCACCCTTCCACCCATCCACACCTCCACCCATCCACCCATCCACTCCTCCACCCATCCACACCTCCACCCATCCACCCCTCCACCCATCCACCCCTCCACCCATCCACCCTTCCACACCTCCTCACCTCCACCCATCCACTCCACCCATCCACCCCTCCACCCATCCACCCATCCACCCCTCCACCCATCCACACCTCCACCCGTCCACCCATCCATCCCTCTACCCCTCCACCCATCCACACCGCCACCCCTCCACCCATCCACCCATCCACCCCACCACCCATCCACCCATCCACACCTCCACCCATCCAACCATCCACCCCTCCACCCCTCCACCCATCCACACCTCCACCCCTCCTCACCTCCACCCATCCACTCCACCCATCCACCCCTCCACCCATCCACCCATCCACCCATCCACACGTCCAGCCATCCACACCTCCACCCGTCCACCCATCCACCCCTCCACCCCCTCCACCCATCCACACCGCCACCCCTCCACCCAGCCACCCATCCACCCCTCCACCCATCCACACCTCCACCCGTCCACCCATCCACCCCTCTACCCCTCCACCCATCCACACCGCCGCCCCTCCACCCATCCACCCATCCACCCCTCCACCCATCCACACCTCCACCCATCCAACCATCCACCCCTCCACCCCTCCACCCATCCACACCTCCACCCCTCCTCACCTCCACCCATCCACTCCACCCATCCACCCTTCCACCCATCCACCCATCCACCCCTCCACCCATCCACACCTCCACCCGTCCACCCATCCACCCGTCCACCCCCTCCACCCATCCACACCGCCACCCCTCCACCCATCCACCCATCCACACCTCCACCCATCCACCCTTCCACACCTCCACCCCTTCACACCTCCACACCTCCACCCATCCACTCATCCACCCCTCCACCCGTCCACCCATCCACCCATCCACCCCTCCACCCCACCACCCCTCCACCCCTCCACCCCACCACCCCTCCACCCGTCCACCCATCCACCCATCCACCCCTCCACCCATCCACCCCTCCACCCATCCACCCATCCACCCCTCCACCCATCCACACCTCCACCCATCCACCCATCCACCCATCCACCCCTCCACCCATCCACCCCTCCACCCATCCGCCCATCCACCCATACACCCCTCCACCCCTCCACCCCACCACCCCTCCACCCATCCACACCTCCACCCCTCCTCACCTCCACCCATCAACCCATCCACCCATCCACCCCTCTACCCCTCCACCCATCCACCCCTCCACCCATCCACCCATCCACCGTTCCACCTCTCCACCCATCCACCCATCCATCCCTCCACCCATCCACACGTCCACCCATCCACCCATCCACCCATCCACCCATCCACCCCTCCACCCCTCTAAGAGGCAGAGGAAAGGCGACACTCCTCTAAGAGGCAGGCGCCTCTCCTCTGAGTGAGAGGCGGGCGCCTCTCCTGTGAGTGAGGGGCGGGCGCCTCTCCTGTGAGTGAGAGGCGGGCGCCTCTCCTGTGAGTGAGAGGCGGGCGCCTCTCCTGTGAGTGAGAGGCGGGCGCCGCTCCTGTGAGTGAGAGGCGGGCGCCGCTCCTGTGAGTGAGAGGCGGGCGCCTCTCCTGTGAGTGAGAGGCGGGCGCCTCTCCTGTGAGTGAGAGGCGGGCGCCTCTCCTGTGAGTGAGAGGCGGGCGCCTCTCCTGTGAGTGAGAGGCGGGCGCGTCTCCTGTGAGTGAGAGGGGGGCGCCTCTCCTGTGAGTGAGAGGCGGGTGCCGCTCCTGTGAGTGAGAGGCGGGCGCCGCTCCTGTGAGTGAGAGGCGGGCGCCGCTCCTGTGAGTGAGAGGCGGGCGCCTCTCCTGTGAGTGAGAGGCGGGCGCCTCTCCTGTGAGTGAGAGGCGGGCGCCTCTCCTGTGAGTGAGAGGCGGGCGCCGCTCCTGTGAGTGAGAGGCGGGCGCCTCTCCTGTGAGCGAGAGGCGGGCGCCTCTCCTGTGAGTGAGAGGCGGGCGCCTCTCCTGTGAGTGAGAGGCGGGCGCCTCTCCTGTGAGTGAGAGGCGGGCGCCGCTCCTGTGAGTGAGAGGCGGGCGCTGCTCCTGTGAGTGAGAGGCGGGCGCCGCTCCTGTGAGTGAGAGGCGGGCGCCTCTCCTGTGAGTGAGAGGCGGGCGCCTCTCCTGTCAGTGAGAGGCGGGCGCCGCTCCTGTGAGTGAGAGGCGGGCGCCGCTCCTGTGAGTGAGAGGCGGGCGCCTCTCCTGTGAGTGAGAGGCGGGCGCCTCTCCTGTGAGTGAGAGGCGGGCGCCTCTCCTGTGAGTGAGAGGCGGGCGCCGCTCCTGTGAGTGAGAGGCGGGCGCCGCTCCTGTGAGTGAGAGGCGGGCGCCGCTCCTGTGAGTGAGAGGCGGGCGCCTCTCCTGTGAGTGAGAGGCGGGCGCCGCTCCTGTGAGTGAGAGGCGGGCGCCGCTCCTGTGAGTGAGAGGCGGGCGCCACTCCTGTGAGTGAGAGGCGGGCGCCGATCCTGTGAGTGAGAGGCGGGCGCCTCTCCTGTGAGTGAGAGGCGGGCGCCTCTCCTGTGAGTGAGAGGCGGGCGCCTCTCCTCTGAGTGAGAGGCGGGCGCCTCTACTCTGAGTGAGAGGCGGGCGCGTCTCCTGTGAGTGAGAGGCGGGCTCGTCTCCTCTGATTGAGAGGCGGGCGCCTCTCCTCTGAGTGAGAGGCCGGCGCCTCTCCTGTGAGTGAGAGGCGGGCGCCTCTCCTCTGAGTGAGAGGCGGGCGCCTCTCCTCTGAGTGAGAGGCGGGCGCCTCTCCTCTGGGTGAGAGGCAAGCCTAGGTCCACGCGCGCGCCTTGGCCCGCGGGCGCGCCTTGGCCCGCGCGCGCGCCTTGGCCCGCGCGCGCGCCTTGGTCCGCGCGCGTGCCTTGGTCCACGTGCCTCTCCTCTAAGATGCAGGCGCCTCTCCTCTAAGAGGCAGGCGCCTCTCCTCTAAATCGCGCCTCGCCTCAAGCCACGCCACGCAATGCCATGCACGCTCCAGGATGGCCGGGTCAACGCCCTCTACTCCACGCCACGCAATGCCATGCACGCTCTCACAATCCTCTTGTGCAACGTGTTACGTGTGTTCATTGGCGCCCCCACCCCTGTCAGGATGGCCGGGTCAATGCCCTCTACTCCACGCCGTCCCTCTACGTGGACGCCGTCCAAAAGGAGAACAAGACGTGGCCTCTCAAGACGGGTGACATGTTCCCGTGCGTACATACTATTTGGTCTCAGAAAAATATCAGTAAAGTCGATATTCGTAAACATCCATTCTGACCTCTCCTGTGTCTCTTCATTTTTTTTGCTCCCACCCTTGTTTCTCCCTCCTCCCTCCCCTGCCGTGCCCTGCCAGCACTGTGTTTTCTTCCATGCTTCTTATTATTCAAAACCCTGCCATTCACGCTATCTCCTCTTCTCCCTCCCTGACCTCACATCCAGTTATGCCGACGCCCCGAACTTTGTCTGGACGGGGTATTTCGCCAGCCGGGCAAACTTCAAGCGTTATGCTCGCGCCTGCAGCTCCCTGCTGCTGGTGCGTCAATTTTCCTTGAATTGACTTGACTTAACTTGACTTGACCTGTCCCGACCCAATGTATGGCCCACTTTTCCGTGCCCGTTCTTGCCTCAGTCAACCCCCGTCAGCCCCCTCCCTTGAATACACCCCCCCTCCTGTCTATTGCCTCTCATACGCTCCTGTACTGACACAAATGGCCGCATTCTCTGCACCCCTATCACCCCCCTTTCTCTTCTTTCAAATCACTTGGGGGGGGTCCATTTGTCCCTTCCTCTCCCAGCGACTATTCTGTACCTTTCATCCCCCTGTTCCTAACGTGGCCAGGCGACCACAATTCTCGAGGCTGCGGTGGGCAAGACCGATCTGAGGGACTGGGGGCTGAAGACCCACAGGATGATCGCTACAGACGAGTTTCTGTTCGACAATCACCTGGGAAAGAACCTGAAAGCCACCAGCGGGGCGGAAGGGGCAGATAGCAGTGGAGTTGGGGGAGAGGGTGGGGGAGGAGGGAGTGGAGAAAGGGGAGAGGGGGGGAATGTGGACAGTGGTGAGTGGGAGGAGTGGGAGAGGGTGGGTGCGGGTGCGAGGAGGAGGAGGGTGGCGTCAACGTTTCCTTTGGAGGAGGCAGTGGCGGTGGCACAGCACCACGATGCCATCACAGGAACGGCCCAGCAGCACGTGAATGATGACTACACACTCCGCCTGCACCGAGCCGCGCAGGAGGTGAGGAAAAAGGGGGGTAGGGGGTTTGGGAATGGAAGAAGTGGGAGAAGGGGCTTAGATGACAGAGCAGCACAAGAGGTGAGGCTTGGGAGGGTTTCTGGGGTAACCGCAGGATGCAAATCACAAAGCAGCACAGGAGGCGAGGAAACAGTGGGAGGGGAGGCGGAAGAAGTGGGCGAAGGGGATTGGATGGATAAAACAACATGTCTCAAGAGGTACAGTTGATTATTGCGGCAGAGGATGCGAGGGGAGGGAGGTGAGGGGAGAGTGCCAACGTGGGGAGGTGTCGAGAGCCCAGACAGTCCTTTCTCCCCTGATGCCATTTCTCAATTCTAAGCTTTGGCAATCACACGCTCCCTTCTTTCCTCGTTTCCCCCATCCTTGCAAGTTGCAATCACTCCAGGCCTCCCTCGTAGTAGCAGCCGCTCTCGTTAACCTCTCACGATTTTTAAGAGGTCTCGTTCACCTCTGACGATTTTCAAGAGGTCTCGTTAACCTCTCACGATTTTTAAGAGGTCCCGTTCACCTTTTTTCCACTCTTTTCTTCCCCTTTCCCCTCCGTGCAATCACTCCAGGCCTCCACTGTAGTAGCAGCTGCTCTCGTTCACCTCATCACCCAGGCAACCCCCATCGCTCTCCGAACGCGCCCCTCCTCCCCAACACCCAGCTCGCTTCCCAATGATCCATCCCGTGCCTTCTTCACACCCACTGCCGACCCAACAATGGGACCGTCAGACTTCCCTCCCTTCAATTCCCAGCCTGGTGACCCCACACTTGATCCTGCTCAGTTACAAGCCGAGCCATGGGCTCCTGTGGACCCGAATCAGCCCCAGTCGTTTCCCGAGAAATCAACCCTCGGAACTGTGAGTCCGTTCGATCCGCCTATGCCGGAGGGTAGCGAGCCTGACCCGCTGTTCTCTCAACTGCACCCAGAATTGACTCAGGGTGATGCAGGCTCGAATGAGGGGGAGCCGCAGCACTCAGTGGATGTGCCTTCGTTCTTCCCTTACCATCGCCAAGTGCCCCCTGTTGAAGAGACACTCCAGTCGCAGCAGAGAGTGCAATGGACAGATGAGAACGCGCAGGAACGGCCCACAGGGCCCGTTGATGTTCACGGTCCACAAGAGGAGGTTTCGCCTGGGAGACGGGGGCAAGAGATGGTGCTGGGTGGAAGGGATACCAGCACTGCGGGAGAGAGTAGCAGAGTGGTGGGTGGGGAAACGGGGAGGGAAGGGAGTGGCGCAGGCAGCAGCAACAGGGGAAGGCGGCTTCTGAGGGAGGGACGGAGTGCGAGCGATGTGCGCCAAGGGAAGGAGGACAGCGAGCAAGCGAGCGTTGAGGGTGGTGATCGAAGGAGTGCAAGCGAGGGAGGGGCGACGCACGATATGCCTGTGCTGGACTTTCAAATGGTATGTGATGTTTTTTCGTGTTACGGTTTCTACCGTAGCATGCAGCTGCCAGGCTTCTCACTACTGTGGCCAAGTAGAGATGTCACATACCCTCGGCTCTGAGAAATCATTGCCCTCACTGTAGCTCGCCATTTTAAGGTGCGCTTCTGATGTTCAAAGCCTATAATTTTTCCAGCATCCACAATTTTCGTCCCGTTCCCACCCCATCCCTCCCATCCCCTGTATTCCTCTCCCATTCCATTCTCCTCGTCTACTGCAGTGTCCGCTGCTCAACCTCTCCTTCTGCCCCCCATCTGAAACCAACCTCAGCCAAGACCAAGTGCTGGTACACCTCACCTTCCCTTCTCCTCCTCATGTCCTTGTGTGATGAATGTCATCAACCTCTCCTCCCACATCGTCCAGATTGCATCTCCACCTATGCTTCATGCTCCTTGCTGCTCCTGGTCAAGCCATGCCCCATCCCATCCTAGATTTCCCACCAGGCGGCTGTGTCACTTTTGAATTCACTCGAAACTGGAGTCTCGAATCCATTGAAATTTGATTTTCTTGTGCTGAATGTCCAACAGGTGGTGACTGTGGTCAACCCACTAGGGTGGCCCCGCACTGAAATCGTTCGGTTCCCGGTACGTCCCTTCTGTCTCCCATCGCATCCCGCTTCCACTCTAGCTTTCCAAAGTTCTCCATTTTGCTAGGTTTTTTTCCTCCTCTCCGCGTCTCTTTGCCTCTGCGCATCTTCCCACCTCGTCCTTCCATTACCCTCGGCTCATTACCCCCCCCCCTTCCCAAACACCCCACCCCAATTCCCCTCCCGCCCCCCCTTTCCTTCCACTCCTTCCAATCCAACTGCACACCCTACCCGCGCCTCCTACCTTGCAGGTGTCCTCGCCATCGGTCCTCGTGACAGACTCGTCCAACTCCCCCATCCCGGCTCAAATCGTCACCGAAACCCTCGTAGACCCCAACACACGCGCCTTCTACGTTGCTGCATACAATGGCCAGTTGCCCCAGGAGCCCCAGCAGTCTCAGCAGCAGCCCCAGCAGCCAGGGCAGCAGGAGGGGCAAACGGATGGGGGTCAGGTGCAGCAGGAGGGGCGGGCTGTGTCAGTTGTGTTCCGTGCCGAGGTGCCTCCTCTTGGTTACGCCACCTTCTTCCTCACTGCCGTGTCACCAGGTATGAACCAGTGCCAGTGACAGTGGGAGTGAGAGTGCGAGTGACAGTGGCAGTGACAGTGCCAGTGACAGTGACTTGTGAGTGATCGAGCTGCCTATCCAGCTGGACTAACCCACTCACTGGCACGCACTAACGTCAATCCCAGTATGAACACTCACTTTTTCATCCCCATTCCCCTGCCGTCAAACTACCCACCTGCTCTTTCATCGTGATACACCCCTTCCGCAGGCACACAAGGGGCAGCTGTCATCAGCACTACAGAGTCTGCAACAGTCCCTGCCCTCAAAGGCCCCGCAGGCCCTTCCTCTGAAAATATTGTTCTAGGGGGCTTCAAGGCCAACCCATCTTCTGGTGGAGCGGGTGCTGCTGGCGAGGCTATCGGTGCAGGCAGGGATTGGGATACCGCACTGCGAGTGACGTTTTCCAAGGCAGCGTATGGCATGACACAGATGGAGCTCGTTCGGCAGACTGATGGCGGGCAAGTGACTGTGGTGAGTGCGGGTTAGCTGCTTGGGATGGTAGCGGTGATGGTGAGTTGGGCAGTGTGGGAAAGCAGGGAGGATGCATGCTGTGCGTAATTGCTGGGGGTGCTTGTGGTGGTGGTGAGTTACCTGTGAGGGAGAGGGGGGGGAAGGTTTCACGATGGACATATGACAAAAACATTTCCCATGGGATGGATGGTTTCACACGTCCCATGGAATGGAGAGCACTCATATGACAAAAACTACCACTTGTGTTTGACGTGTCGAATGCCAGTATGCTCACGCTGCATACAAACACAGCCCCTCCCATAACCTGGCTTAGCCTTTTGTCAGAACGAACCCCCTCCCCCCCAGCAATAACCCTCTCACTCCTCTTTCCCCACTTCTCACCTCTTTTCTGCCATATCCTTCCCAATGCAACCCCTCCGTTGCTTTCTTCCTGCCCTGACAGGATGTGGCAAAGCCTGTCAAGTCGGATGTATTGGAGTATGTCACACAAAAGGTACACTGTGGTGGTGCATGTTACAACGAATGTACATCCCAGGACCTATCCATTATCATTCCTTCTCCCTGGGCATCGTCAACTGATGTGCCACTTCTGATTTCCACTTGTCATTGATGTGCCAACATTGCTGAATTCCCATAGCTTGTGCATGCCCCCTTTCTCCATCCCTTGCCATCTCCCCTCCCACCCGTTTCCCCACCTCACTTCCCTTGACCCTCCCTCTCATTCGCCCTGCTCCCTCCCCTCACTCCCAATCCCCTATCACCTCTCCTGGAAACTACCTCAACCCCTCTCTGTCGCCCCCACCCATGCGCCCTTCCCCCCTCCGTGCATATCCTCCCTCCTGCCCTCTCTCCTCCCCCTTCGCCTCCTCTCCGCCTTTCAGGGTGGTGCCTACATCTTTGACCCCACTGCTGAAGCAGCCAAACTGACTCAGAGAGACGACCAGGTCAGTGCGACCATCCGTCTGATATCTCATAGACTAACCATAGATACGAAGAAAAGCACGTAGTTGTCACTCACACTGCTGTTTGTGAACTCACACGAGCACACTCTCAATGTAACCTCAAACGCACTCTCAGTGAAACCTCGCGCCTCTCCTTGCTGATGCTGACGTGTCCAGGTGTCCATCCGTGTCCAGCGTGGACCAATCGTGGAAGAGTTCTCTCGACAAGTTGCCCCATGGGTCTCAGAGGTATGCCAGCCAAGTCAGATCCTTCTGCTGCTCCTCCCGTTTCCTGTATTTCCCCTGCTGGCTGTATTCACTTTCTTTCGTTTTGCTCCCACTCTCCACTTCCCCCCCATTTCCCCTACTTCCCCCCTCCCCCTTCCCACCAACCCCCCCCCCCCCCCCCCACCACCACCACACACCCACCCATCCCCCTCAAACCCCACCCCCCCTTCCCCACCCCCCACTTCCCCTCCACTCCCCCCCTCCCCTCACCCCAACTACCCAACTGTTGCTTTTCCTTGCAGACCTTCCGGGTGTACCCAGAGTGTGACTATGCCGAACTGCACTACGTGGTAAGAGCCCTTTCCTCCTACAATCACGCCCTCTTGCCCAAGGTATCTGCGTGGCTTGGCAAACCACCTTGCTGCCATGCTTTGCCCATGCTTTGCACGATTGAGATGCCCGCTGCCATGCTTTTCTCAGTTGTGCGGGCGCTTGTGCTCTGTGCTTACACAAGATAGAATGCTCAAGGATTCCTACCCTCCCTATTGTTTCTCCACGCTCTTTTCCTCCTCAACCACACCCCTCAGATCGGACCTACCCCCGAGGACAACAAGGGTCACGAGGTGGTGACCCGTTTCGCAGCTCCCATCAGCAGCAATAAGACCTTTTTCACTGACTCTAACGGCAGGCGTTACCTCAAACGGGTGAGCTTATAGACAGGGGTGAGTAGCTAATATTGAGTACGAACATTTCAGTGCAGCCACTTTCACCAACAACCGACAGTACTTTACGTAGAAAGAGTGAGTGGTGTTGGCTGCTTGGTGAAAGCTGACTGATTTTTCTTTCCTTCCTCTTTTCACAATACCTGTTTTTACTTCTTCATCCATCTATTTTCCCCTTTTCCTTGCCACCTTCACACACTTCTTTTTCCTATTCTTGTACCTCCCAGACCATTCTCCCTTCGCTTCCCATGCCATCTGTCTCCCCACACCACCCTCCCTTCTCGGCCAACCCCCTTGGCTATTCTAGCAGATGTGGCTAATCAAGAAAATGCCTTCTTTTTGCCACCCTTCTCCGCCCCTCTTCGCCCTTCTTCACCCTTCATCTTTGCCCTGGACCCCAGATTGTGGACCATCGAGCAGATTGGGAGCTTACAGTCACCGATCCCATCGCAGGCAATTTCTATCCGGTCAGTCCAGTCCAGTCCAACCAATCCTTACTGCCAGTCCACTCCACTCAGCCCGTTGAGTTGAACCAATCCTTACTTCATTTCAGTCCTCGCAGCTGGTCCCCTCCCCTCCCCTCGTGTGGGTGTACTCATAGGGGTGTTTGATGCACCTTAAGAAATCCTTCCTGCATCCTCACCCCTGCGCCTCTCCCACCACTCACTCCTACCCATCTCTCACCCCTCACTGCTATCCCTCTCCCAGGTGACGGTGGGCGTGTTCATCGGGGATGGCGAGTCACAGCTGTCGCTGTTGGTGGACCGAGCAGCCGGTGCTGCCAGCCTGGCAGCCGGACAGCTCCAAGTCATGCTGCACCGGTGAGCCTTAGAATAATCCTTTGACGAGAATCTTGACATGCTAAGAAGAACCTTGCTGTAAAGGTATAATACGAACCTTCACATGTCTGGGCACTCGCTGTCACGAAGATGTAAAAAAAAAAAAAACTAAGTCTTTGATATCAAACCTGTGCGTGTGCGAATGCAGGGCACTGGTGGGGGTGGACATGAAGGGGGTGGGGGAGAGTCTCAATGAGCACATCTCGGTCAATGGCAACAATCAACGCCTCATGGTATGCTGTGATGTCAAACCTGTGCGTGTGCGAATGCAGGGCACTGGTTACAGTGGACATGAAGGGAGTGGGGGAGATCCTCAATGAGCAGATCTCATTCAATGGCAACAATCAGCGCCTCATGGTATGCTCATCTGTGTACACAGTACAGGGAACTATGCATGGCATGGCTCTAAATAACATGCCCTCAGAAAAACAATCTGAATTCAGGAAACGTGTTGAGCAAAACTGCCGTAAATGCAAGCAAGCGGCATGCAGTGCATGCTACTTGAGTGTGGTCCTCTTTCCGCCACGCATTGACCTTTCCTTCTTGATCCATTCCTTCTTGATCCCCTTCCCACCCCTCCAGGTCATAGGCTCTATCCGCTTTGGCCTGCACCCAGGGGGCAGCACAGCGGTGGGAGATGAGGAGCAACCTACTGCAACCACTTCAGCCGTTGCCCCTGCTGATGCTGACGCCACCACTGAAACACCCCCGCATGGAAGACGAGGGGCTGAAACGGAGGGAGGAGGGAGCAAAGATGAGGCGCCTCTGGGTGTCTCAGGGATGGGCCGGCCTAGGGAGAGGCGTGGAGGGGAGAGGCAGGAGGGAGAGGGGGAGAGGAAGGGGCAGGGGGCGCAGTGGAGGAGGGTGCACGCCCAGCGCCTTATTGCCCCTCTGCAGCTGGCGTTTGCTGTGGAGGTGTGTGCATGCTTCTTGTTTGTGCGCCACGTTTGCTCTTACCGTCTGCGCATGCTTTTCGCCTGTGCAACGGGTTTACTGTTGACGTTCATTCGTGCCTTTTTTTCCTGCCAAGCCAACCCTATCAGGTTCATCTATTGCAGCAATTTACGAGATCTTGCCAGTTTCCTCCTCTTGATTCCTTCACCCTGTCATCCCTCCTCTTGAAACCCTGCAAGCAACCATATCCCTGTCACAGCTGTCCATCCTTATCAGCCCACGCCACGGCATCCCACTGCCTCCCTGTCAGATCAGTTGCTTCTTTGGGAAAATCCAATATCCAACTCACCCTGTCAACCCACCACACCCACTAACCCTTGTTCCCTCCCCCACAGACAAAGGAGGCCATAAGAGCAGCGGAGGCAACCCACAGGTGGCGTTACTCCATCTCGCAGGGAGAACGTGCCAGCAATTCTCGCACACCCAAGTCTGCTTACTCCCTGCCACCCAACGTTGCTGTCATCTCCTTCCAGGTCAGCTTGACCCCCCCCCCCCCCCCCCTAGCTCCTTCCAGGTCAGATGGAGCCCCCATATCTCCTCGCAGTTCAGATTGAAACCCTTAGCTTGCAAATCTTGCTTTATCGAGACAGCTCGACCCTCCTGGCAGCCCCTCGTTTCCATCCCGTCTCAATCCTGTTCCATGGCACGGTGTTGTGAGACGAGGACGTACCGTCTTTGTGCTAATGTATTCCTTGTTGAACACTTTTGAGACGCCTCAAAAGTTATTCCATGGCACGGTGTTGTGAGACGAGGACGTACCGTCTTTGTGCTAATGTATTCCTTGTTGATCACTTTTGAGACGCCTCAAAAGTTGTTCCATGGCACGGTGTTGTGAGACGAGGACGTACCGTCTTTGTGCTAATGTATTCCTAGCTGAACACAACCACGCCGGCTTGGTCCAATGTGGCGGCGCCTCATTGCCTGTTGCTTCCCCTGCACTCTTTCTCATGCAGGAACTGTCCCCAAGGAACATTGTGCTGCGACTGGCGCATCTGTACGAGGTATGGCAAGCTTGAGAACAGTGTGCGCACGGATCATTGTGCCGCTCCCCATGACACCATACACCGTACCTGGCATCACTTTCAGAGCTTTCTACTCCCCACTTTCTCTGTAAAGATGCCTCAATCACTTCGTTGTGTTGCCCTAGAGCACCTCTAGAACATATATTGTTCAGGCCCTCACTTGTGTTTCGAGGCAACTCCCTTCTTTCCACCATCACCACCATCCCCGTAGGCTGACGAGCATCCAACACAATCCAGAATCGAGCGCGTTGACTTAAGGCAACTCCTTTCGTCACAAAAGGTAATGCATCATATCCTACTGTACATTACCCATACACGATCATTTGTGCTGTCTTAATGATGCCCCCAGCTGCTGGTGCACGCCTGTTCTTGTCCCCCCGTTTGTTCACATTAGCTTCTGTGTGCTCTGATTGGTGCAGATACAAGGAGTGACAGAGTTGAGTCTAATGGCTAATCAGAAACGATCGGATATGCGCCGTCCAATGACATGGCATGTCGATGGCGTTTCAATCCATTCTAAGGAGCATTCACCCCAGGGCGGGCCTGTGGACCCATCTTCCCTTACAGTGGAATTAGCCCCAGGGGAAATCCGCACTTTCTCAGTGCAGCTTCTCACTCAATAAGTTCAAGATTGGGTTGGTTGTGCTGGTTTTCCTAGGACTTGCCATGTTTGATGGATTCACTTATTTATTTTTACTTGCAGGGAAATTGAAATGTGTGGAGAACGTGCTACACCATCCACAAAAGGGTCTGCTTGTACTGGTCCACAATGCTCACTGCTTGGCACAATGTACGCCACGCCTGCACTGGCGCTCCATTCTGAAAAACTCACAACTCAACCCCGCAGCTAGACCATCGGCACAGAAGAACCAGTAGGTCAGCACGATCTTTTACAAGGCTCCTAGGCGCCATAAGCGCGTCACTCCTCCATGGAGCAACAGCAGCCGCCGCAATGCGCGCTAGACGCGGCGCTGAAGCGATCCGAGGCTGTAGACGACAGCACGCCACGTGTCCGCGGACACACTTTCCACGAAGCCTCTGTTCTCCCCGCGCGCGATTTCTCTCCCCGCGATCAGCCGCGAGAGGGTAGCGGAAATGAAACCCCCTGTAGCGCGGATGGCGATACTCGAGAAAGCGATGCAGTCACGACTGCCACAGCAGAAGCAGCACGGCGAGGCGAAACGAGTTGTGCTGTCCCAGCAGCAGTAGAACGAAGCGCGGGGTCGGTAACGGTGGATTACTCGGTGCTTATGAAGCGAATGCTGACGACGGGGTTTCAGGCCACGTGTCTGGGGCAGGCGATTAATGAAGTCAACAGAATGGTGCGATCTCGTTCCTCGCGTCTGATGTTCCGCCACGGCCGTCCCTGTGCCTGCTCGTCCCCCGCGTTTAGCTCCTGTCATTCCGTTCTTTCGTAGTCCCTGAACCCCCATTCCCCATCCCTTTCCCCCACCTTGACTCTTCCATGTCAAACCCCGAAACCCCGAATCCGTTTTTCTCCAATCTCGTGGCGGCTGCGCGAAGATCATCCGCCCAAGACCGAAGTCATAGGGGAGTCGAGGATTCCTGCCTTTTCTACCTCTCCGCCCTACCTCTAAACCTTCAACCCTCAAAACCCCCCTCCCCTCCCCAGCTCGCGTGGCGGCTGAGCGACGCCCCGCCCAAGGCCGACGACACGGAGGGGGAGGGGGACCCGGCTGCTACCTCTCCGTCCTTCCTTCAACCCTCAGCTGAAACCTTAAACCCGAACCCTGAAACCCCCCCTCCCCTTCCCAGCTTGCGTGGTGGCTGAGCGACGACCCACCCAAGGCGGACGACACGGAGGAGGAGCGGGACCCAGCCTTCCGGTCGTCCCTTCTTACCTCATACCCATCACTCACCCCCTTCCTCCTTTCCCTCCCCTCCCCAGCTTGCGTGGCGGCTGAGCGACGACCCACCCAAGCCGGACGATACAGAAGAGGAGAGGGACCCAGCCTTCCGGTCGTCGGTGCGGTGCAAGATCTTCCTGGGCTTCACATCCAACCTCATGAGCTCGGGGCTCCGAGAGACCTTCTGCTTCCTCGCAAAGCACAAACTGGTGGGTCACTGCCTCGTGTGAGTTAGTCAGGGGGTTGTATCACTCAAGTATACTGGGACTCCCGGCCTTCCGGTCGTCGGTGCGGTGCAAGATCTTCCTGGGCTTCACATCCAACCTCATGAGCTCAGGGCTCCGAGAGACCTTCTGCTTCCTCGCAAAGCACAAACTGGTGGGTCACTGCCTCGTGTGAGTTAGTCAGGGGGTTGTATCACTCAAGTATACTGGGACTCCCGGCCTTCCGGTCGTCGGTGCGGTGCAAGATCTTCCTGGGCTTCACATCCAACCTCATGAGCTCCTGTCTCTCGGGCTAATGCTCCGAGAGACCTTCTGCTTCCTGGCAAAGCACAAACTGGTAAGCACGTCTGTTTAATTCCCTCATTTCTTCCCTTCAATCAATCCTTCTTTCTTCCCTCCTCCATCCCCCACTCCCGTTCGTGTAACGGCCCCTACGCTCAGTCATGCTCTTATTCTTGATGTACTTTTACATGGTCTTGCTTGATGCGCTTCTCTCATGGTCAAACCCCTCATTTTTTGCTTTTTCTCATACGCTCACCCATCTAACCATGCACCCATCCAGGTGGATGTGATTGTGACAACAGCGGGGGGCATAGAAGAGGGCGTGATAAAGTGCCTGGGGCCCACTCTCACCTTTCTCTGGAACCATCCACCCAACCAACCACTCATTCACCCACCCACCCACACACCATACAGGTGGATGTGATTGTGACAACAGCGGGGGGCATAGAGGAGGACGTGATAAAGTGCCTGGCGCCCACGCTCCTGGGCGACTTCTCCCTGGCGGGGAAGGACCTGCGGGCCAAGGGGCTCAACCGCATAGGCAACCTGCTCGTGCCGAACAACAACTACTGCCTCTTTGAGGACTGGGTGCTGCCCGTGCTGGATGCTTGTCTTGAGGAGCAGCAGACGCAGGTGAGGGGAGAAATGGGGAGAGGGAGTGTTCCTCCTGGGGGGGGAATTGTTGACTTGTTCCTCCTGATGCATAAGAGTTTAATCCACATTCACCTCCTTTCCTCCTCTCCCTCCCTCGTGTGCCCACGGCAAGCAGGGCGTGGTGTGGACGCCCTCCAAGCTCATCGACCGCCTGGGGGAACTATTTTAGTTGACTCACAAGTCTGACGTCTAACTTTAACCGCATGTTTACTGCCCTTCCCTCTGTGCCCACGTCAAGCAGGGCGTGGTGTGGACGCCCTCCAAGCTCATTGACCACCTGGGGGATTCTTTAAGTCGAATCAGTGGTGTGATGTGTGACGGTGTGATTCTAACCGCACTTTCACTGCCCTCCCTCCTGTCTTCCCTTTTTGCTGCCTCAAGCAGGGCGTGGTGTGGACGCCCTCCAAGCTCATCGACCGCCTGGGGAAGCAAATCAACCATGAGGAGTCGGTTCTCTACTGGGCCCATAAGGTCAGCCTCCCCCCCGCCTCTAGGTGCGCCTCTTCTCCATCACACTGTCAGCAGTTCAACCCTTGAGTAAAAAATAGGAAAATAACAGAAAAGCATATCCTGTGCATCTTTGCGTTTGTGCGCCACCCCCCCTGTAATGTGAGAACGGCATCCCGGTGTTGTGTCCAGCCATCACGGACGGGTCCCTGGGTGACATGATCTACTTCCACTCCTGGGTGACATGATCTACTTCCACTCCTGGGTGACATGATCTACTTCCACTCCTGGGTGACATGATCTACTTCCACTCCTGGGTGACATGATCTACTTCCACTCCTGGGTGACATGATCTACTTCCACTCCTGGGTGACATGATCTACTTCCACTCCTGGGTGACATGATCTACTTCCACTCCTGGGTGACATGATCTACTTCCACTCCTGGGTGACATGATCTACTTCCACTCCTGGGTGACATGATCTACTTCCACTCCTGGGTGACATGATCTACTTCCACTCCTGGGTGACATGATCTACTTCCACTCCTGGGTGACATGATCTACTTCCACTCCTGGGTGACATGATCTACTTCCACTCCTGGGTGACATGATCTACTTCCACTCCTGGGTGACATGATCTACTTCCACTCCTGGGTGACATGATCTACTTCCACTCCTGGGTGACATGATCTACTTCCACTCCTGGGTGACATGATCTACTTCCACTCCTGGGTGACATGATCTACTTCCACTCCTGGGTGACATGATCTACTTCCACTCCTGGGTGACATGATCTACTTCCACTCCTGGGTGACATGATCTACTTCCACTCCTGGGTGACATGATCTACTTCCACTCCTGGGTGACATGATCTACTTCCACTCCTGGGTGACATGATCTACTTCCACTCCTGGGTGACATGATCTACTTCCACTCCTGGGTGACATGATCTACTTCCACTCCTTCCGCTCACCGGGGCTCCTCATTGACCTCGTACAAGGTGCGTTGACCTGCGTTGACTAGGTTGACTTGGTGCAACGCCCACATGATGCGCAACGGGGCTCGCAACCTCCTTCCCTGACACATCTCCTCACTCAACCCCTCACCATCCCTTTAGGCACCCTCCTTACTCGCAACCTTCCTTATTCACCCTCTTCCCTGAACGCCCCATGGTTCCCCCCAGACATTCAGCGGATGAACGGCGAGGCAGTGAACGCCACCCCGCGGCGCACTGGAGTGATCATTCTGGGAGGGAGGCTGCCGAAGCACCACATCTGCAACGCCAACATGATGCGCAACGGGGCTGAACTCCCACCACTTGACACCCCCCCTCACCCTTGCCCCTGACACACCCCCTGGCAGCGAATGAACAGTGTTTCCCCCCACCCCAACAACAATTCCACCCCTGCGGCTCCCCTCCTCCTCCTCCTCCTCTCTTCCCCCTCTTCCCCACCTCCCCTCTTCCCCCCAGACATCCGGCGGATGAACGGTGAGGCAGTGAACGCCACCCCGCGGCGAACGGGCGTGATCATTCTGGGAGGGGGGCTGCCGAAGCACCACATCTGCAACGCCAACATGATGCGCAACGGGGCTGACTACGCGGTCTACATCAACACAGCGAGCGAGTTCGATGGCAGCGACTCGGGGGCCAGGCCTGACGAGGCTGTGAGCTGGGGGAAGATCAGAGGAGATGCGAGTGCAGTTAAGGTGAGAAGAGTCCCTTTTGAGAGTCCAGGCATGGGGAAGGTTATTGGATGATGCGCAACAGGGAGGACTATGCGGTCTATCCAGAGTTCGATGGGAGCGATTCGGGGGCCAGGCCGGACGAGGCTGTGAGCTGGGGGAAGATCCGAGAAGATGCCACCGCTGTGAAGTTGAGAGGGAGAGAGAGAAATCTCCTTTAAGCTGGCTCAATGTCGCCTTGTGAAAGTGTGAGAGTGTGAGCAGACACACATGCTGTGGGGAGAGAAGGCACGGGGAGCAGGTGGCGTATGTGATGGCACTGCAGGGGTAGTGAGAGAGCACATGTAGTGTCGTAATTCCAAGTCAAGCATCGCCTCTGCCATTCTTCCTATCTCATTCGCCCATCTCTGCAGTAAAAGCCTATAATCTGATGGCTTCATTTCACCTGCCTGCAGGTGCATAATGATTACTCCATCACCTTCCCTCTGCTTTTGAGTTGACTAAGAATTCCCATGTGATTTCACCCATCCCCTCTGCCCTTTCACCCATCTCCTCCATCCTCCATTTTCCCCTTGGCCACCTGCAGGTGTATTGCGATGCCACCATTGCCTTCCCCCTGCTTGTAGCCGAGACGTTTGCCCCCCACTTACAGGAGCGAGTGCAGCAGCAGGAGCAAGCAAAGCAGGAGGTGCAAGCAAAGGAGTAGCAGTAGTGACAGACAGCAGGCAGAGTATGAGGACACTCAGGAGGAGAGCATGACAGGCATGACCACCGGACTGATATCATGCGCATACGTGATTGCGCTCAGGTGGTTGTGTTTAGCTGTTACTCTGTAACCCAGTAGGGTTTGTGTTGTTACAAATGTTTGACAATACACAAGTTTTTTTGCAGGGCTGAAAGGAGAGCACAAGCAGAGACTACGGTGATATTCATTCAGATGCTACACTCAAATCACGGCCACTATTCAATACAAAATTCAGGAAGGGCTAATGCAGTGGAGCGGGCACATGTATGCCATACCACCCCACCCCATGCCATACAAGGCAAGAAAAATGAGCATTTACCACCACAAGCACTTGGGGAGAACTACTGGGTCTGCTGCTCCCTTTGAACCCTGAGGGGGAGTGATCGGTACTGTATAATGAAATATACGGTATACGGTAGCGCACAAAGCAGGCGACCAGCAGAAGAGGACAGGTGGTTGGAAGTGCTGTATGGGAAGCCTCAATGCCTGCAGAAGTGACGTACCGGCATGATCCCTGAACACTCTTTATTTCTTTTGAGGCAACAAAAAATGGAACTGTAACAAGGGGAGCCACAATGCTGCAAAGGCTGTAACAAGTGATCATGAGGTGAAGGCTGCAAAGGCTGTAACAAGTGATCATGAGGTGAGGGCTGCAAAGGCTGTAACAAGTGATCATGAGGTGAAGGCTGCAAAGGCTGTAACAAGTGATCATGAGGTGAAGGCTGCAAAGGCTGTAACAAGTGATCATGAGGTGAAGGCTGCAAAGGCTGTAACAAGTGATCATGAGGTGAAGGCTGCAAAGGCTGTAACAAGTGATCATGAGGTGAAGGCTGCAAAGGCTCACAAGGCACCTCAATCGGAGGAGCTGAGAGCCTATATATCCATGGGCTCACACGCTGAACCTGGCGGCTCATCACTAGCGGAACCACCTGTAGTATTGGCAACAGCGGGAGGAGCGGCCGGTGCATCAGTGGCAGCAGTTGCAGCACAGGTGGGAGGGCTCCCCCCACTCTGACCGTGTGAAGCGGGCAGGTTGGAGAACGGCAGCCCTGCTGAAGCTGCCAGGGACGCTTGGAAGCTGAGAGCGTCTATTATCGCACTGGCGTCTTGTAACGAGGATGGGTTCATCTGCTGTAGCAGCTGCTCTAGGGAAGCTTCTAGTCCTGGTAGGGTTGCTGCTGCCGCTGCTGCTAGTGTGGGTGCTGCTGCTGGTGCTGCTGCTGCTGCTGCTGGTGCTGCTGCCCCTTCGTTAGAGCCCCACTGCTGTACAGTCACACCTGGGGTTGCACCTGCTGTCGCCTCGGCCCCTATCCTTGCACCTGACTCTGCTGCTGTCCCAACTCCAGCTGCTCCCGCGATAGAGCCCCATGGCTGTATAATCACGCCTGGGCTCGCTCCGAGCCCTCCGAACCCATTTCCCGTTCCGGTCCCCCCTGCAAACGAGCCCCACTGCATTACAGTCACACCTGGGCTTGCTGCTACCCCTGGGCGCATCCCTCCCATATAGCCCCACTGCTGCAT